TAGCTAATAAACTTATTTATCATAGGTTTGTTATAAAACTCAGACATTTATTTATTATTTTTCAGTTTTCGTAGTTATGCGTTCAATCGTTACTTTGTTTATTAACTTGATATTAAAGTATAATATAAATTCAAACCCGTGTAATTTGAAATATCTAAGTTTAAAGTTTTGGTACAAAAAAAGAAACACTTGTTCATGTTTAAACACGAATGCCACTGAAATAATATCAATGAGTGCCGAAAATTCTCGCATTGTGCTACCGTAAAACATCCTAAAATAAAATTGACGCCACTACTTCGGTATGCATTGAGTATCAGCTAAAAGGCGTGGAAAGCTATGGCCTATTTAAGCAAGAAGCGTCGTTTCTCTACCACCCTCCTGACATCTCAAGTCAGTCAAAGGCGTTGTCAATCGTTAACCATACGCTTTCCCTCCATCTCTTCCCGCGTAAGTCTGTACGGGCTAAAGAGCCAAGTGAAGGAACATCATATAGGTAAAGAGAGAGAGAGAGAGAGAGAGAGAGAGCAAAAGAGGTTAGGTTCTGAATCTCATAAGCATCGATCGTAGGGGCCAAAAGCCCACCTGCATGTGCACGCGTTCCTCGAGATCAAAGACACCGCGATGTTAATGCACCAGTACAGCGCACGAGCTATTGATACGATTCGATTAACGCTGGCTCCATGCACTACCGTCCTTGGTGTCGTCGTCGTTGTCTTCATCTTGAATCCTGTGGGTGCACTTACGTCCAGCAACCCTTTGGCCTCTGTTCCTGTAAGACCCCTTGCTTGATTTTGATAATATATCTTTTTAGACCTCCGTGGGTGGCTGCTTTCTAGCTTGAAGGTATATCACGTTAAGGTTAACATCTTGACCATAAAGTTTTGTAGGTAGATAATCCTTGCACATATGCATGAATAAATGTAATATGGTTAATACTAAAAATATTGAAGTATAGATGAAGTATCCACTTCTTTTTCTTGGAGCAAAACTAGATAGTAGGTTAGTTGCGTCTTATATAGCTTGGTGCACGTTTGAGCGATTGATCGAACACCTATGTATGGGTACACGTACTATAATAATTCATCAGCCCGACGAATTTAATCTAACGCGTTATATCCTTTAACATATTCTTAGTCGAGTGAATTGATATTTTCACAAACTGTGGACTTACTGTAATTTTAGGGTTTTTCTGTAGGAATTCAGAAAATCAGTGTACCAACTGTGGCTATTAACTTACAGGTTTTAAAATATTTACGAGCCATTTGTATCAGTTAAAAAACATAATAAGTTGTAGGCCCGTAAAATGATTATGCGTTGTCTTTAAAAGCTTAAGCAATGTAATAAATTTGACTGATCTAAATACTATATTTAGCGATACCCCTTTCCAACCGAAATAAAGTTTTGTCTTTTCAAAAAATTAACACATGAGCTTAGCACTTTTGAAAAGAGGAATCAAAAGATATTACTCTGGGTACCTTCGATTTTTACTCTTGTCGCGTTATAGTGTCGATGGTTCATTAAACCTAGTAGGGGAACGTGGGGCGGAGGTGGGCATAGCCGATAAAAACCTAGTGCAAATGGTCAAACCAATAACAATGCACATCATTCTAATTGTAACACTGCCGAGAGTAATGGCCCATAATGCTCTACAACATTTTTATTGAATAAAATAATCGGATATATTTCTGAAATCAATATGTAATTCCAAATATACATTTATTTAACATATTTATTACTTTCTTGCTTCTTTTTCCTCGTGAATTGTCAGTAATTTTTGCACGTGCTTTTGAGAAACTCCAAGAGATCCCAAGTATAAAGTGATCACTGACGACAACACAGTAAAAAAAGTGGATCTTTCGTAAATACTTGGATTCATGCTAAGAAAAAAAAAATTACGTATAATTTTACTCTGTACTATTTGCCACGAAAGCTTAATGTAAATTCTCCTCACTTGAAAATAATGATACGTCCACCTTCCTTCGAAGCGTTCCAAATATTCGAGAACCCTCCTACTTTCATTACCCCTATAATTAATATAGAAACAAAACCTACAAAAGTAAATATGAATTGGAATGTGTCCGTCCATACCACAGCTTTTACTCCGCCCTTGAAAAAATATTAGTTACATTTCAGATATGATTGTATATTTTGTGCGGGTCTTAATTCTATACAATATTTATTTACGAGTCTACACTTATCTACAGAGATTTGTTATCTTAACCGAAGATAATAGTGTTAGTGCTCTTTGAGGAAGAGTAAGAATCGATTTGAAAATAACGTTATCGGGAGACAAATTAAGATATGGACGTCAAAATAAACGTAATATCACTTTAAGTTATCTTGTATCCGTTTTCTTCTCTCATTCTGTCTGCACTATTTTTTATTTTAAAATTGTACTAGATAATACATTTTCCGAGACATTTTCATACTTGGTTATTGACAATTTGGGTGGTGAATAAAGTGAATAAAACTGTGTTGATCGTGTCGAAAAAAATTATTTTAAATCAATGATTCAAAAAGGTTTTTTCCAAATATAAATGTAAGATATATGGCTCGAATGGAGGAAAAAGAAAAAAATGAGCTGCAATACTTACCAGACTCGTGTAAAAAATACAGATCGTACAGATAACCAGGGTCAGCAGGTGTAATTCTATGCCGGTAAGCTGTGAGAAAGCAATAGCCGGTGCATAAATAATGATCGAGCAGTAGATTATCAGTACGACAACGTATGTGACGGAGCATAATTTTCGCACGGCTTTGGAAAAGCGCAGCTCCAAATATTCAGTGACAGTGAGTAGCTGCAGCTTGAAGAAAACCGGTAGTACGAGATGGGTCGCCAGGATGCTGGCTATTATTGCTCCGATTATTTCTATGACGTACTGAGATCCGTAGAGGTAGATCTCGGTTGTGAAGCCCAAGTATGTTATTCCGGATAAAAAGCTGAAGAAAGAAAGCCAAGGATATCGTTGTGATTAATTTACTTTTTTTTTTACCCTAAACTACACGAAATTTTATGATTACTTTAATTGAAACAGTTTCGACATCCTAACCATCAGTATTTAATTTCACGTCATCATATTCATGTATTCAATATATGATTCTTTCACAACGAAGACATACTGTCAAAATACATTTCAAAATACATACTGTCAACTTTATGAAATGCAGTAAAAATCACATTACCTCGACAGCCCACTGATAGCGACGGGAAGGTATGACATAGTTTTCCCAGCGTAAATATATTCGTGCACCGTGTCTTGTTTACTGAAGAATCCAAAATAAATCCCAATGATGATGCTGATACCGAGTAAACTCGAAAATACGGTGTAATCTATCCAACCGAATGTCAACTCCTCCATTTCTATAAACTCCCGTAGCACTTTTTACTCAATGAAAACTGTACTTGCGTTAATTGTCTACCCGATGAATTGTCAGTGCTGCCGAGTCAATTGGAACTCCGATGAGACGTGTAGTGTGTACACAAGAACGAGAAGATAAAATTATTTATCAATAAGCTATATATGTATTGACACATTGTGTTTCAATAAATGGGTATCGATCATTATCGTTCGCGACTATGATATTTATATCTACGCAAATTGACAAATTTCACGTTTCTCGATCGTTGTGAGAGAAAAAAAGTAATTTCTTTTGTATGTTAAAACAATGTCACCAATTTCGTTCCAGAGTACGATGTGTCTTGTCTGGGCGAGGATATACACTTTACTGTCGACACATGCTTATTTTCGTCTGTAGCATTGAATTTTTTTGTTCTGTCACTTCAAAGCTTGAGTGTTAACGTGAATTGATAAATATTTAATTGTATCTTTTAACTGGAAATGAAAAAAAGCCAATGTTGGTGCAAAATTTTTTTTTTTATTTCTTATCATGTTCGTCGTAATTAGAGCTGTCGATAGCTAATAAACTTATTTATCATAGGTTTGTTATAAAACTCAGACATTTATTTATTATTTTTCAGTTTTCGTAGTTATGCGTTCAATCGTTACTTTGTTTATTAACTTGATATTAAAGTATAATATAAATTCAAACCCGTGTAATTTGAAATATCTAAGTTTAAAGTTTTGGTACAAAAAAAGAAACACTTGTTCATGTTTAAACACGAATGCCACTGAAATAATATCAATGAGTGCCGAAAATTCTCGCATTGTGCTACCGTAAAACATCCTAAAATAAAATTGACGCCACTACTTCGGTATGCATTGAGTATCAGCTAAAAGGCGTGGAAAGCTATGGCCTATTTAAGCAAGAAGCGTCGTTTCTCTACCACCCTCCTGACATCTCAAGTCAGTCAAAGGCGTTGTCAATCGTTAACCATACGCTTTCCCTCCATCTCTTCCCGCGTAAGTCTGTACGGGCTAAAGAGCCAAGTGAAGGAACATCATATAGGTAAAGAGAGAGAGAGAGAGAGAGAGAGAGAGCAAAAGAGGTTAGGTTCTGAATCTCATAAGCATCGATCGTAGGGGCCAAAAGCCCACCTGCATGTGCACGCGTTCCTCGAGATCAAAGACACCGCGATGTTAATGCACCAGTACAGCGCACGAGCTATTGATACGATTCGATTAACGCTGGCTCCATGCACTACCGTCCTTGGTGTCGTCGTCGTTGTCTTCATCTTGAATCCTGTGGGTGCACTTACGTCCAGCAACCCTTTGGCCTCTGTTCCTGTAAGACCCCTTGCTTGATTTTGATAATATATCTTTTTAGACCTCCGTGGGTGGCTGCTTTCTAGCTTGAAGGTATATCACGTTAAGGTTAACATCTTGACCATAAAGTTTTGTAGGTAGATAATCCTTGCACATATGCATGAATAAATGTAATATGGTTAATACTAAAAATATTGAAGTATAGATGAAGTATCCACTTCTTTTTCTTGGAGCAAAACTAGATAGTAGGTTAGTTGCGTCTTATATAGCTTGGTGCACGTTTGAGCGATTGATCGAACACCTATGTATGGGTACACGTACTATAATAATTCATCAGCCCGACGAATTTAATCTAACGCGTTATATCCTTTAACATATTCTTAGTCGAGTGAATTGATATTTTCACAAACTGTGGACTTACTGTAATTTTAGGGTTTTTCTGTAGGAATTCAGAAAATCAGTGTACCAACTGTGGCTATTAACTTACAGGTTTTAAAATATTTACGAGCCATTTGTATCAGTTAAAAAACATAATAAGTTGTAGGCCCGTAAAATGATTATGCGTTGTCTTTAAAAGCTTAAGCAATGTAATAAATTTGACTGATCTAAATACTATATTTAGCGATACCCCTTTCCAACCGAAATAAAGTTTTGTCTTTTCAAAAAATTAACACATGAGCTTAGCACTTTTGAAAAGAGGAATCAAAAGATATTACTCTGGGTACCTTCGATTTTTACTCTTGTCGCGTTATAGTGTCGATGGTTCATTAAACCTAGTAGGGGAACGTGGGGCGGAGGTGGGCATAGCCGATAAAATGGGCATGCAAATATTTAAAAATAAAAACATATTTTTAGCTGAATCCTCTTTAATATACATATACAACATCAATAGTTTCTCCATCCAAACAAATTTACCGGACTAAAAGCTTTTTTTTTTATTACGAGCTGATTTAATTCTTAGTCGAAGATAACCTACTAAAAAAAAATTTTTAATCACTTGGCAAATTTATTATATATGACCTACATAATTATCCATGATATTATTCGAAAGCTTAGATCTTTAACTTTGACAGGCTATTTTTTTTATTTTTTTTTTTACTTGTAATAAAAGAGTTATTAATAAATAAAAAATATATGTTGCGAGGGTGGGAATGGGCACCAAGGTGGGGCGCAAATGGGCCCGAGCAAGAAAGCAGTTCCGCATCGAGCGTCTGCTATTTGTAGGTATAGGTATACCAGTTGTATGTGGTTAGCTGTCAGCTGTCATACATTATAGGTTAGGCTATTTATTTTTATTTTTGTTGATTTTTTATGTAGTTTCTCAAATAGTTTATAAAGTAAGAGTGATGGTTCGAAACTCTTGTTCAAAGAGCACAAAGCGTTCTTGGACTGATGTTGATGTGGAAATTGCCATTAAACGCATCAACAATGGAAAATCCATTAAAAGTTGTGCAGCTGAACTTGGAATTCCCAGAAGCACTTTGCAAAGAAAGTACCAAGAGTCATCTGAGCCCTCTTCCAATGTTAAAAGTAAATAGTTTATTTAAAAAATAATAAATACACAGAGGTGAATTTAAACTTATATTTGTACAGCAGTGACTAGATTCACAACTGTTTTTTCTGCTGAGCAAGAGACAGCTTTAAAAGAACACATTTGTGATATGCAACGAAGGATGATGGGCCTCTCATCGTACGATGTTAGGAAACTGGCTTTCGATTTTGCCACTCATCTACAAGTACCTAACAAATTTGATCGTGCTGCAGGTAATACTTACAATAATGTGTGTTTATATACACGTTTAGGTCCAAGATTACCTACCTATGTGCATTTTTTGTTTATAAAGACTATGAAGAATGTTCTCTGTATTCATATAGAAAACAATTAATATTTATAGGTCTTGCTGGCATTGAGTGGTTTAGAAATTTTATGGAAAGAAACCAATTATCATTGCGAAAAACTGAGCTTACTTCAGTGGCTAGAGCTCATGGTTTCAACCAGCAAGCAGTCCATGAATTTTTTTCGATTCTCCAAGAAACCATGAAGTTGTATAATTTTGAACCTCAAAATATATACAATGTGGTCGAAACAGGGATTTCTGTCGTTCCTAAATCCTCGTCGAAGGTGGTGTCTCCAAAAGGAATGCGACAAGTTGGAGGATTAGTTGCTACAGAGAGAGGTGAAACCGTGACAGCTGAAATTTGTATGTCAGCTGCAGGGGTATTTATGCCACCAATGTTGATTTTCCCTAGAGTCAATGAAAATACTCAGTTCTTAGAGGGGAAGCCTGATGGTGCTTGGGCAGAATTCCATAAAAGTGGATGGATGCAGTTAGAAATATTTACTCGGTGGTTTAAAAAATTCATTGATTTCTCTCATGCATCAAAAGAAAATCCCGTACTCCTTCTTCTTGATGGTCACTCATCGCATATTAAAAATCTAGATGTATTATATCTAGCACGAGATAACGGAGTTGTAATTATTTGCTTTCCACCGCACTGCACGCACCACTTACAACCCTTAGACGTAGGCTTCATGAAACCGTTGAGCAAAAATTACACCGATGAAGTCAATGCTTATCAGCGAGAAGGTGGTGTACCAAAAATGAAAAATATTTTGCGTTTATTTGGAGCAGCATTTATTAAAGCAGGGAGAATGGAGACTGCCATAAACTCTTTTCGGAAAACTGGAATATATCCATGTAACCCGTGTGTTTTTTCTCCATCAGACTTTGCTGACCTACCTCAGACAAACAGTCAACTTAACTCTGAGGAATCAGCTACAGGCAACGAAGGTATATTATTTCTTTTCCTGCTTTTAAGTGCAAAATAATTAAAAAACGCTGAATATTTACATTTTCGCTGAGTCCTTGTTTTTCAGATGTCAATGGATCTGTATCACAGTACTCACAAGTTCTACAAAATTTAGTTGGTGATGTACGTGATCTTAATAAGAAATCCCAAAGTAAATTACAGAGCAACCAAGAAAATGAGCCGGTCACGTCATTTACAGATAATATCTTAATACCTCTTACTCCTTTGATCAAATATCTAGTAAAAAATACCTAGTGACAAAAAATTAATTAAATTAATTATTGTTAACTTTTAACGTTCATTTTTACAGAATTCTTCGCTGCCTCCTGGTTACGAAATAAAATTATGTCATACTAGTCAAGCAGAAAATACGTCTAGTCAGAATATAATAAGTGATATGTGTGATATGACGCAAAATGAAGACAATAATTCAAACAACCTAAACTATAATCAGTTACTTGACCATCAAAGCATGCAAATTCTATCCAACCACGAAATAAATAAGCCAGTTTTCGCACCTAGTCCTACGGAGAGTTCCTCTTTAGAGTTAACGACAAGGAGTTACCTGGTTGAAGACAGCTTCGTACAGCCTGTTCAGGCCTTATCAGATAGTCCATTAGGCGATGTGATGAATCAGTGCAAAAATAATATTAGACAAACTAATAAAAATCAAACAAGGGTATTGAAATCTAGGAAGGGAAAGTGTGCCGTTATTACATCGGATGATTACTTTCAGCAAATACTTGCTGAGAAAGTTAAAAATATTAAAAAAGAGACTCTGGAAAAAAAAGTATCGAAGCAAAAAGTGATATCGAACATCAAGGTGACGAAGCCTATGAAAATCAATAAAAAAAAGTTAAAATTACAATCCAACCAAGTCGATA